GAGTTGGGGGCGGGGGCCGCGCGGGGGCGCCGCCCAAGGGCGCGGCGGAGGACGGAGGCCGCTGGGGGGGGGGCTCCTCCGTTCTTCTCCTCCGCCTCTGTTCCCAGACCCCCTCGCGCTGCGAAACACGTTCGACGGGAGGTTTCCTCCTCCTCCTCCTCCTCCTCCTCCTCCTCCTCCTCCTCCTTCTCTCGTCGTCCTCATCCTCCTCCTCCTCCTCCTCCTCCTCTCCTCCTCCTCCTCCTCCTCCTCCTCCTCCCCCCCCCCCTTCCCCTCTCCTCCTCCTCCCTCTCCTCCTCCTCCCCCCTCCTCCTCCTCCTCCTCCTCCTCCTCCTCTCTCCTCCTCCTCCTCCTCCTCTCCTCCTCCCCCTCCTCCTCCTCCTCCTCCTCCTCCTCCTCCTCCTCCTCCTCCTCCTCCTCCTCCTCCTCCGACCTCCAAACTCCGTAGCCATCTTGGCTCAAGTTCGAAACGCGTCCCTGGCGCTTCGAGCTTGTTCGCTGCTGAGGGGAGGCTCAGTGTCTTTTCCTTGGGGACAGGCCCCTGAATCTTATCCGTCGTGCGCCAAAGCACGCTGCGTTGCAAGCATCGCTCGCGTCCCTGTGCAGTTCCAGTCATGGCGGGCGGCGGGTCCTCCTCGCTCGTCGCTCCCTGCGGGACGTGTGGCTGCAAGAAGAACATGCCTTGGTACAAGTGGTGCAAGTCGTGCCACAGTCCTTTGGCCTCGCCTCTGGCTAAGGGTCGTCCTCGTGCTGGTGGGGATGGTCAACTGCCTGAAGGAGGTAAGCGCCGCCGTGGCGCTGACGGAGGTGGCAACGGTGCTGGAAAAGGATTCGGCCGCGCTGGTGTGCCGCCCCCTCCGTCCAGCAACCAGCATGAGTACCTTGAGGCGCTCACCAAGCACTTCAAGGGCGTTGGTGACTGTCTCCCTGGAGCTGATGCCATCCTCCAGGCTCTGGCTGCCTCGTCCAGTGCGGTCAAGCAGGCGGAGCTCGACAAGCAGAACGCGGGGGTGCAGGCCTCGGCAGTCCAGAAGCAGCTTCTCTCCAAGGAGAAGGAGCTGTTGCAGGTTACGGATTCTATCGAATACCATCGCAAGCGTGGCGAGGAGCTGCGGACAAGGTCCGCTCATATCGGCACGGAGATCGAGCAGCTTCGTGTGCGATATCGTGAGCTCTCCGCCAAGGTGGCTCCTCCCGATGAAGACCCAGGTGTTGAGGTCGACATCGCGAAGTTCAAGGACACTTTCTCGGCCATGGACGCGTTCTTGGGTCAGGCCGCAGAGGCTGTGCAGAAGGAGAGCCTCGACGACCTCAAGGCCAAGATGGAGGCCATGCGCAGTGCGTTGCAGTCGGGCAAGGAACATCTCAACAAGTCCGTGGAGGCCGTCAAGGCTCGTGGCTCTTCTGCGTGATCGGCTTCTGCTCCTGTGGCCAGGCCCCACATTCGCTCAGACGACGACCTCTACAACCTCCTGTGCGGCCCCTCGGCGTCCGCTGAGGAGAAGAAGCGCAGGTTGGAGATGGTGGAGGCCGTGGCCAGCAGGTTGCGCACCTAATATCACTACAGCCTATCGGGAGGGGGCTTTGCGTCCTCCCACCTGGCCGCTGGAGGCCCATACTTCGTCCTCTGGGTGCTCCGCGTCATCGCCAGGTACCTTGTCGACAGACCCCTCTGCTACAGCCCCCGCCCACCTCCCAGCGCAAGCTGGTTGGCTCCCAGGGTTAAAGGGTGGGAGCGGCTTCTTAGCGGAGGGGTCGGTGCAGTCTGAGGCGCCTGGCCACCCACAGAGCTCTGTTGCATCGGTGAGCTGCTATAACCAGCCCAGTGTAGTTCTTCCCTCGGTCTCTGAGTATCCTGGCGGTGAGTTCGGTTTCATCCTGGAGACTTTCAACGGTTCGGGTTGGGGAACTGCTCGTAAGAGATTGGAACAAACCCGTGCTCATACTGTGTGTATACATGAGCATAAGCTTCGCAGTTTTGAAGAAATCAATCAAGCCAGTGCGTGGGGATCCGACATGGTTGGAAGATATTCTGGGAGCCTGGTTGTTCTGGGGAGGAAGGTGGTGCTTCTGCTGGTGTTGTGTTGGCGGTACGTGCAGTTTGTGGATTCCACCCTCTCATCGACGTCACTCAGGTTTCTCCGCGCAGGTGTGTTGCAGGTGTTGTTCAGCGGCTGGGACAGCCGAAGTTCTTAGTTGCCAGCATCTACTTGCATGATTGCGAGCAGATGAGCGATGACAGCGTTGCCATCCTCTCGGATGCCATGTCGTTCCTGGGGCACTCGGGCTCGCCGTTCGTGATGGGCGGGGATTTCAACATGGTTCACGAAGTGCTCCTGGATAATGGGATTCCCGAGCTCCTGCGAAGTTCTCTGGTGTCGGCGCCTGGGGATCGAGGGTCTTTGACGGGCCCCAACGGTACCAAGCACTACGACTATTTCCTGGCTTCTGGTGGCTTGAGCAAATGCGTCAAGGAGGTCTCTCTGGTCGAGGAGGCCGCCACTTATCCTCACTTGCCTGTGTGTCTGGAGTTGCGCAAGTCCCCCAGCACTCTGCGGGCCCTCAGGTTTCGCAAGCCTCCGAAGATCCCCGTCGAGCCTGCCATGGGACCCGCGGTGCAGCCGCCCGACTGGTCTCAGGCCCTGGATCTTTTGGATTTTTCTCTGGAAAGTGTTGTCTCTGGGAGGCTGCAGGGGGCTTTCTCGGGGCTGGACTCGGCCTACGAAGTGTGGGCCAACCTCAGCGAGGTCGAACTTGTCGCATCGACGCAGTCGACCATCCCAGTTTTTGGCACACGCGGACGCAGGCCCAGGTGCGAGTGGCACGATCCGCTCACCATCGACACCAGGGCCGCGCCGCCGTCAGCGCAGCAGTCGGTCAATTCCTTTGTTGTGCAGTTGCGCGCTTTGATCTGGCACCCCGGCGCGGGCGACCCCGTCGAGCACCCGGCCGTGCAGTCGATTGTAGGTCAGTTGCGACGTCCTCCTCAGAGTATCCTGGACAATCTGGGGGAGTGGACTGTGGTTCACGATCAGGCTGTTTTCTTCTTGGGACGTATAGACGAGCTTGCCCTGGATGACTGGAGGCTTTCTTTGACCCAGTTGTTGGGGGATTTCGAGGAGTCCCTTTCGGAGGCCGTCGCCCTTACTCGTAAGTTATCTAGAGCTTCCTGGAGGCAGTGGATCTTGGAGGGCATCGAGAAAGGGGGCAAGAGGGCTCACAAGTTCACGAGGGACCCCCAATCTTGGAAACCTACTACTACCCTGAGCTCTGATGGCGCCCTGGTTTCGGATCCACTCAGCCTCCTGAAGGCAGAAGCTCTCAAGTTTGCTGACCTCTGGGGCACCACGTATCAGGAGGCTCGGCCGCCTGACCGTTTCGCGCGCGAGGCTATCCTGGAGCCCTTGGAGTTTCTCAGCCCTCCTGTGCTTCGAGACCTCAGCCTCAGCTATTCCAAGTTTACGGCGGTCTCTGTCGTAGGGTTTCACATGAGGCACTTCGCGCAGCTTAGCGATGGCGCCCTCCTGGCCCTGGGGGAGATGTTCCAGCTCTGGGAGATGCTTCTGGCTTTTCCTACTCAGTTGAGGGTGGTCCTCCTGGCTACGTTGTCGAAAGCCCCTGGAGGCTTTAGGCCTATTGGCTTCTTCGTGGCTCCTTGCAGACTCCGGGGGCGCGCTCGCCGTCGCTTAGTTGGGGAGCGGGAGGCTGCGTGGCAGAGGCCTTTCTTCGCCTGTGCGCGGTTCAAGTCTTCCTCGGATGTGGTTTGGAGGCAAGCTCTTAGATCCGAAGAGTCTGTTTCCTTCAAGGACGTGTCCGCAAGTGTTCTTTGGGACATGTATAAGGTCTACGAACTATTTGATCTGGAGCTGCTTCTAGACCGTTGCAGGCGCGTTGGCTTTTCTCTGCAGGTGGCCCGCTTGTGCGTGTTCGCCTACCAGTGTGCACTGTTTGCATTGATGAATGGCAGCGTCAACGGTCCTTGGCTAGCCATCAAGGGTGTCATCGCTGGGTGTTCGATCGCGACTACATTCGTGCGTATATACCTCGTCCTGGATCTGGATAGGTTGACGCTGCCGCGCTCGGTTACCCTAGATGCTTATATCGACGACTGTGCTTCGAATTGCACGGGCAGTCCCGAGCTTGTGGTTCGGGACCTTGCGGCCGCATCGCGAGCGCTGCACCGCGTTCTCACGATCGATTGTAAGTGCTCGCTGTGGATTGATCGCACCAAGGGGGTCACGGCCGACAAGGCTTGCCTCATCTCGTCCTCGGCTACCGTTGCTCGTCGCCTTCGCGACATCCTAGGGGGACTAGCTGGGCCGACCACTACGGGGGTAGCTAATCTCGGGATCGACGACACTCAGGGCAAGCCTCGAAGATCGTCTGGGCGTGGTGCTACTGCCAAGAAGCGAGTTGCCATGTTTAACCGTCGTGCCAAGAGGTTGGCCAAGTTGAAGCCGGACCTCGGCAAGCGATGCAAGCAGCTATGCACCGCTGGGCCGCTGCCTGGCATTCTATATGGAGCAGAAGTTCACGGGTGTAGTGACGGGGAGGTGCGTCGGATCCGTCGCGGGCTCGGTCGTGCGCTGCAGCCGTCGGCAGGAGGTCGCTCGCTCACCGTACTCATGATCGCCGAGAGCGATCCTTCCTGGCTCGCCTCGGTAGCACCAGTGATTCGATGGGGGAAGAAGGTGTGGATCACGGCTAGCAAGATCACGTCTCTTTCGTTGTCGTTTGCTGCGCTGCGCTCGGCATGGAGCGCCACGTTCTCCAGGGACATCACATGGCGCTCGTGTGGTGGACCAGCCGGTCCTGTGAAGCTTTTTTTGTGCAGGATTGACTGGCAGATGAAAGACCCCTTCACTCTGACCAATGACCTCCAGCAAGAGATCTCGCTTCCTGTCACATCACCTGCTCTGTTGAAGAAGCTCCTCAGGGAAGGAGTGCTTCGTGCTTTGGAGAGACAGGCCAGCCTCGCTTTGGGGTCCTCTGATCGGTTG